CTCGCTGTGTGCCGTATGACGGAAAAAAAGTATAGAAAAAGACATAGTGTTACTCAAATTTAGCCTCGTCTTTTGATAATCCCGTTTATCTGACCAAGAGGAAAGTCTGTAGGAGTAAGAGGCGAGGCGATGGTTTTGAGGTAAAGCACAAATTGAGTTACTTTGTTCGATAGGGTATCGGACCAAACAGGTAAACGTTGCCAGAGGAAGGGGAGAAAAAGAGAGCTTAGGCGTGTAATACCTCTTCTGAGAGAAAGGCGACAGATTTTGAGATTGTACACACATTGAGTTACTTAATTTGATAACGTGTCTGACAAGATGGGTAAAAGTCTATGTGCATGAGAGGAGAGCTGACGCTGTTGTGGACAGTTTCCTTAGTACAACAGTAGAACCCAGCGAAGAGAAGGGACTGGCTGGTCTGGTTTGTCTCCTACCAAGTTTTCAAATTAGAAATTTCTGTTTTGACAGTTTTTTGTTGCCACAGTTTGCCAGCAGCGTGCCCCACCAACGTCTTTAGCCAAGGCTGAAGATATTTAAGTTAACAGCCGAGAGAAGAAAAATTGTTTTGTCTCTTTGGCTACTTCACGTCATGTCGTTCTTTGATTGTTTTCCTGAACAGAAAGAGAGAGATTTGGAGCTCGCAGCGCGCATTGGTCAGACTCTCTTGTCTAAGAACAAAGACCTTTCTTCACGCACTGAGACGCTAGAGGAGCAGCTCGTCAATGCCAATGACAAAGTGAGTTGTTGTTTGTTTGTTTGCTTGTTTGTGTGTTAATTTTTGAATGTGTATGTGTGTGTTAGTGAGTGTGTGTGTCTGTTTGTGTGTGTGTGTTTATGTGTGTGTGTGTGTGTGTGTGTGTGTGTGTGTGTGTGTGTGTGTGTGTGTATATGAGTGAGTGAGTGATTGGGTGGGTGTGTTTCTTTCTGTTAAACTTTCTATTCTTGAAAAATAAAAGTTTCCACTGATGTGAACCTAATCGAGATATTCCCTGATGCCAGCATGTTTCTGAGCATGCGTGCGTGTGTGTGTGTGTGTGTCTGTGTGTGTGTGTGTGTGTGTGTGTGTGTGTGTGTGTTTGTGTGTGTGTGTGTGTGCATGTGTGCATGTGTACCTCTGTGTGCGCGCGTACACGTATGTGGGTAAGAGTATGTCATGTGCATGCATGTAAAAAAGAGTGGACTCAAATGAAAGGAAATGATTGAAATGTTTGACAAAGACAAAAAAGACCTTTGCAATCTCCTTGAAGTCCTGGTTATGGCGTTCTTCATTTCACAAAGTCATGAAAAGGCTCAATTCTCTATCTATGATTAAACACTCCAGGTAAATTTATGGTGGTGAGGTGAAAGTGATCCATCAGACGCAATTCTTTTTAAAATATTTTTTCTTAGCCCAGTATCGCTTTCGGACATTTATGGTGTTAGTGCAGTTTTATCTCAAGGACACCTTATTTTCAATATATACAACCCTGTTGCCTTCTTTACACTTTTATCTTCCTTTAGATTTATGTCTTCCTTTTGGTTTATATCTTCCTTTTCAGACATATTAAGTTGCTGCTTTACACAACTGTATTTATGGCTATACAAATAATGTTTTTTTTATATATAGATCTATGTGTTTGAGCAAAGTTCTATTTTTGTCTTTGCTTTTAGCACACCATTCTCTTTGTCTGATTTACAGGGTGCTTTTTGCAGTGAAAGCTCTTTCTTTCTTTCTTTCTTTCTTTCTTTCTTTCTTTCTTTCTTTCTCTCTCTCTTTCTTTCTTTCTTTTCCTTCTTTCTTTCTGTCTTTCTTTCCTTCCTTCCTTCTTTCTTTCTTTCTGTCTTTCTTTCTTTCTTTCTTTTTTTCTTTCTTTCTTTCTTTCCTTGCATCTGTGATGTAACGATAAGGCTGTTTGGTGTCTTTCTTTCTCTTTCTTTCTCTCTCTTTCTTTCTTTCTTTTCCTTCTTTGTTTCTGTCTTTCTTTCCTTCCTTCCTTCTTTCTTTCTTTCTGTCTTTCTTTCTTTCTTTCTTTCTTTCCTGGCATCTGTGATGTAACCATAAGGCTGTTTGATGTTTCACGCAAAAGATGTGAGTTCTATTCCGACGTGGGGAAATTTTTTAAAGGAGTATCTCTGTCTGTTTCCTGGGATGCTGTATTTCTTTCAGCCTTATTTGGCCCTGGGGTGGAAACAGCCTGCCTCCTTACTGATCTATACTGTGTTGATTAGGACGTAAAACATGTACAGTTAGTTACATTTTTATTTTCTGTCTTAAGACTTTGATTGTTTGATTGATGCACTCCGTCATTTGTTTGTTTGTTTTGTTTGTCCATAGGTAAGCCAGCTGCGCCATGACTTGTCTATGAAAGATGAGCTTTTGCGCATCTACAATGAGGACTTGGAGTTGGAGAACAATGGACACACTACTCCCACGTAGGTGGACTCTCTCTATGTCTGTCTGTTTGTCTGTCTGTCTGTCTGTCTGTCTTTATGTCTGTCTGTCTGTCTGTCTGTCTGTCTGTCTGTCT